CTTCAGTCAAGAGTCGACCGTTCCACCACAAAAAAATATCCATCTCTTTTGTCATCAAGTAACCATTGATGATATGATGATGTAATAGTAGTTTATGAAATCTAAGTTTGTGTTATTTAATTAAAATTTACTTTCAATTAATTTCATTTGCGCATCACCAAGTAATAAATACCCAAATGAAAATTAAATAAAAATATTACAAACTAAATACAAGAAAATGATACAATTCAAACAATAAAAACAACTAAATAGAAACATTAAATGCAGATGATACAATTCGAACAATTAAATAATAAAAACATTAACAAAAAAATAAATAAAAAGTCATAATTAAATAAAAACTTTACAATTTCTGGTAAACAAACAAAATTAAATAAAAACATTACATATTAAACAACTCTATCGATGTCTGCATCTTGAATATGTTCCATAGGGCGGTGGTTGTTTGTGTCGATGAGGATTTCTTCGTACAATTTTTTCTTCTCACTTTCATCATCATCATCATCATCATCATCATTAGAAGCAACTACATTTTGTTGATGAGGGACAGATGATGATATAGCACCTCCATAGAATAAGGACCCTAGAGGTGTATGGCTGACTATTGCATCACTCATAGAAAACTGTTAAAAATGTGAAAACATCGACATTGATGAGTTTGAAAACTACTCCAGAGGTTTCTGTGTATGTGGTGTACCTTCACCCGCCAAATAAACAACATATGAACCCTACACTGGATCTACAAGCGTAGAAGTATAATATCCACTAGGAGGGATCATAAAACCCTACGACTGTGGCATCTGAACCGGTTATGGTGGCATATGATATGGAAGCAGTGGCGTCTGACCCGATTGCAGTGGCATTTAAAATGGCTACGGTGCCATCTGATACGGCTACGGTGCCATCTAAAATGGATGTGGAATATACACCAGTGTAGAAGGTGGTTACTGTGATGGTTATGGTGTTGCAGTTGAGGACGAGCCGGAAGCGCCTGCTCTTCATCCACATGTTAGGGGATGACGATGCTGTAACGGTGGATGTCTTTATTGGTGCCGATGAATGCTCTTACCTCGTGCTTCCTTGGAAAGTAGGAACGATTTCCCTTTCGTTTTTAACCACTCATAATAATCACCCGTAATCGAATAATGATCCACATAAATGGGTTATGTACGAGGAATGCGTCCACGTTGATTCTCCCATATCATTACCCACTCGATGTGCTTCAGCAACCAATCGCCTTTTTTTTGCCCTGTCTATCGATGATATGTATATCGTCTAGATTCTTTGGTGCTTTCGAAATAGATTGTATGAAACCAAATTGATGGAGCACGTGATCAGTAGGATGTCACTCGATAATAGCATAACATATCAGATGGATCAACTCCATTCAGACATCTAATGGGCCTCTCAAGTGATTTGGGATGTAAATCCTCATTTCTTCAGTACAATAAGGAGCCCATTGAGAATAAAAAATATATATATAATTCTTATCAAAATAATATTCTAATTATATAACGATAATTAAAATTAAATAAGAAAATTTAAATACATACCTCTGTAGCAACATTCTGATCAATGAGTAGTTGAATTTCTTCTAATTCATCTGGTAAATCTCGATGATCTTTTCCTGCACTTGACCACCTATTCAATGAAAAAAATTTCATTATATATCAACAAAATTATTTATATACAAATTCAGTATTGAAATTACCTTAATAATAGCGAGAAGACCAATGGGTTTTTCACGACCAGGCATAAAAAGGGCATACGATACCACGCCTAAGACTGGAGAAGAAAGAGACATTCGCCGATAGTATTTTTTGATAATTAGTTGCTCGACACATTTCCTTATACAGAAATGCCAAAACTGTAGAGCCCCAACTGAGTGTGCCGACAATGTGAAAATCTACGAGGTGACACAACCACATACAATGAACTTGGTTGCGCTATTTGTCGGGCATCAGGATCCTTCCTATGAGTTGTAATATGTAAGCCCATGCATACATTTTAACTTGTTCCTCAGAGACGTCGCAACTCAAATGTTTAAAAGTTGTATCCAACCAATTTAACGGTATTCGACCACCGTTGAAATTAGGCGGGACACCTCTAAAATACTCCTCGCACAAGGAATGTCAATAACCATCCGCCACTCCAGCAATCACATCTCCATCTATCAGAAGCCCCAAATATATGGAAACATCTTCTAGCATAATAGTGCACTATCCACACGGAAGATGGAATGTGTGAGTCTCTGGTATCCACCTCTCAACCAGTGCATAAATAAGGTTGGATTCAAGTTTATAGTGCCCTTCATATTTCAATACGTAATTGAATCCATCCTCAGCTAAATATAGTCAGACACGAGTAGGTATATCTAACTTAATGTTATAAATTGATAGATCAATATACAATTTCTCTCCTAATTTCATAAATAGTATACAAATTAAAATATAAAATAATATAAATAAATAAATAAATAAAATATTCACAATAATTAAAATAACAACACAATTTAAAATTGTTACCGTATCGGTAAAATGCCTCGAGATATGATTCTCATCTAAACGTAGCCTGCCTTTCATTTTATAACTGCAAAAAGTAATAAAAATGAGTACAATAAAATTTAATAAAATAATAAATAATTAAATAATTATAATATAATAGAAAATATTTACATTCTTAATATAAAGATTGATAATAGGAAGAATGAGAGAATTTGGGATTTAAGTGTGGTTTGAGGATTGTGTTGAGTGTGGTATTTATAAGAAGAGATGGGAGACAGACGGTTTCAGAACCCCGCGAAGCTCGGATAAAACCTCACGAAGGTGTGGATGGCGATCCGTACTTTATTGCCACTGTGTTAGAAAGGATGTTAGATTGGTAATATTTAGGGAGATAATGCCTGACAGATAATTATTGGGTCTAAAAGTGATATTTAGGTAAAAATGTCATGTAAGGGAGAGTTTCAAAATCAATGAAATTAAATGATAATGTAAGGGTCCATAATTAATATTTTATATAAAATTTAAGATTAAAATATTTTATTAAATTTACAAAAAGTCTACAATTAATATTTTATATAAAATTTGAGATTAAAATAAAAATTAAACTATTTTATTAAATGTCACATCAGTGAACTAACACCATTTAACGTTCTGATATATGGACGCGCCGCCCTCTCGTCTTCAGCTCCTCCAGACCAAGTGAAAACCTGATGGTTCGCAGGACGAGTATGGTGAGTTTCTTCACTTGCCTGGCAAGAGCTTCTATGACTTATATGAGATTCGCAGGGAGTTTCAGGTTATTTATTGCTTACTTTTTATGTTTGTGAAGTTTGGCATTTATAGTCTTCCTTTGCTAATTGCTTTCTCAAAGAGTATTAGAATATTATATGATAAAGATGCAGATGCAGTAGCTGGTGGCACAGATAGTTGGTGGAATTACGACGGAGTCTTTAGGCTGATGGCTACAATGAGTAGAAAATCGAATCACTTAATCAAGATGTTCTTGACTAAGTATTAACTAGATTTCTTCTCTCCCTTTAGGTATCGACACAACTGCCGCCTTTTATTGCTTTCAAGTTAATAATAGGTTTTATCAGATCAAGTAAGAATGTATTGTACTTTCTGATGTCGAGTGATCCTTAAGTAAATCTCTATTGACTGCAGGTTGAGACCAGGATTTCAAATTGCGGTTACGGTCGTGTTTTCAGTCATTTTGGATTTATCGTGATTGTGGCCGTCACGGGCGCTATTGCAGCCATAACGGGCTCTATAGGGCGCTGCTATTGCGAGTGTAGTGGGTAACTCGGACGGCGGTGAAACCACTATTTCACGAATAAAATCATGTTTTTGGACCGTGATTTGAAACCCTGACTGAGACAATCAGGGAGACTGGGGGAAACAAAGTTGTGTTAGACAAGCATATTCGACTTAAGATTTTCTTCCCGAATGCTCTTGATATCACTCTCATGCAGGGTATCAAATAGCGTTCCAAAAATGCTATAGCGGCTGCGATATTGCGGTCACGCCACCGTCCGAAACTGCTATTCATGGTTTTTGCAGTGGGTCATGGATTCACACCGATCGCGGTTGATTGTGCCCGCAATTTAACGGGAAACACGATTACACCGATAACGGGACACAATCACCATTATTCAACCGTGGTTGATTCACTGCAATCAACCATTCAATCGTATAGAAAAACAAAAAAGAGTGAAATAGGGTTTCAAACCGTATAGAATATGTAATCTTCACTAGTGGAGATTTGAGGTTTTGAACATGGAAGAGTGAAATGAGTAGGTTGAAAACTGAAAAAAATTGAACTGGGGAATGAGGATGGGAAGAAACGAAGAAGATGGGTTTGAGAGAAATGGGAACTGGGAAGAGCTGAAAAACTTCTAAACCAAATGAGTTATATTAAAAAAAGTAAAATGAGAAAAATTATTTCATGCATCACTGATGAAAATTTGTTTTACAAGCTAGTTTCTAAACTTCTAATATTGTCATATATTTTATTTAAAATGTATGAGTTAGCATTTTAGAATTTAAGGTTTATATTTTAGAGTTTAAATGTTATAGATTGGAGTTTATAGTTCTTAAATAGGACACACAATAATATTAAAGTTAAAAAATTTTCATGTTAATTTTATATATTTAGACCAAACAGAAAAAAAACATAAAAATATTAAAAAACATTTCATCGTTAATTAATTATCTTATCCTATCATCGGATTTTTAAAGTCTTTTATTTGGTTAAACTATATTATATATATGTCAATTTCGCTGAGAAAACATTTTAAAAATCTTTAAAAAATGATTCCTTATAATTATAATTATTTTTATTGTTTTATAAGATAAGTTGTGCAAAATTTAAAAAAAAATCACGACCGCGACACCCGCAGTGAATGCTATGGCATCCGTTATGTCCATAACCATGATAAATGCGACGCGACCGAAAATGTGACCACGAACGCTATTTAAAACCCTGTTCTCGTAGATCTTCCTGGAATCACAGAGGTTCCTGTGGGTGACCAGCCCTCGGACATTGAAGCTCGGATTAAAACAATGATCATGTTGTATATTAAACAGCCAAGCCGTCTGATTCTTGCTGTCACTCCAGCAAATTCAGAATTAGCAAATTCAGAATTAGCAAACTCAGATGCGCTTCAAATTGCTGGAAATGCTGATCCTGATGGTATTTCTACTATCATCGGTGTAAACGAGCCGAGTCGAAGCTCGAGTATTACTGAACTCGACTCGACTCGAAAACTCTAAAATGGAACTTGACTCAACTCGAAAACTCACGAACTTAAAATTTTCAAGCTCGACTCGAACTCGAAATTCTAAACTAAAACTCGTGAGCAGCTTGAAAAGGCTCGAAATGAATTTTTTTTCTTAAACTTAACTCGATTGAAACATCAAACTTGAACCTGAATCTTAAATACATGAAAATTTTATTGTATTTAAAAAAAATCAACACATAAATATTAATATTACTAATAATTTAATTTTTTTTAAAAATAAATTATTAATACTCATTTCGAGTCGAGTATCAAGTAGCTCGTTTCGGCTCATTAAGAACTCGAGATGAGTCCCTTCAACTTGAGTATTTTCGAGCCTTGACTGAGTCGATCTTAAGTAACTTGCAATTTGTCTCATCTAATTTATAGCCCTAATCAACATCTCACTTCTGCACTGAGATGCCATGTATTTAATTTAATAGTCTTGCTAATTTTTTACTACCTGACAGGTTACAGGACTATTGGTGTTATTGCAAAGGTGCATCTTTCAATGTCAAAATCTCTATTTCAAATTATGAACTTATGTATAAGATGTTCTAGTTTTCTTATTAGTTTTGGTTCATAATGAACCAGTTGAATATAAGGTACTGATGCTCGTAACCTGTTGCTAGGAAAAGTGATTATTCTTCGACTTGGTTATGTAGGTGTTTTGAATCGTAGTCAGGAGGTAACCATTGAACATGTGAGGAAGTAACTATAATGGTGAAAATGTAAAACCAAGATACATATCATTTATTGAATTACAACACTGCTTATATACAAGAGATTACAGCAAGCCACTATAACTACTCAACAGCTAACAACTAACACTTAATAACTGCCCTTAACAGCTTTCCTAACTGCACAACTAACTGTACACATCAGCTAACAACTTCATCATTCAACATTCTCCCTACTTCTTCTTCTTTCTCCCCAAGAAAAGACTGCACATTCACCATGGTTTTAAACACTTCAAACCGAGCAGGAGTTAAAGGCTTTATGAATCCATCAGCAACCTGATGACTTCCTGGCACATAGTTCACCAACACTTGCTTCAAAGCCACCTTCTCACGAACAAAGTGAACATCAAACTCTACATGCTTACTCTTTGCATGATGGACATGATTAGCTGTCATGGCTACAGAACTGTTGTTATCACACTAAACTATTGGAACTTTCTGCCTTACAACACCCAAATCACTCAGAAGAGCATCCACCCATGTTGTTTCAGCAGTAACATCTGCAACACTTCTATACTCAGCCTCCATAGTCGACCTAGAAATTGACTTTTGTTTCCTCAAGTTCCACATCATAAGATTATCACCTACAAACACACATTAACCAGAGACAGACTTGTGGTCATCAGTGTTTGTAGCCCAATCAACATCAGCAAAGGCTACTACATTGAATCCTGCCACTGCAGGTGCTATGATCAAGCCATGATTAATCGTTCCCACCAAATACCTCAAAATTCTCTTAACTACAACAAGATGTTCTTGTCTTGGAGCATGCATGTACTGTGCTGCCTTATTAACACTAAAGGTAATGTCTGGACGAGTGTGACAAGCATATAACAATGCAACTACAATGCTTCGATACTCATAGGCATCCTGAATCAACACCCCCGCACCTTGACTCAACTTAGCAAACACAAGCATGGGTGTAGATGCAGGATTGGCAGTGCTCATTTTTGTCTTCATGAACAGCTCTAGGATAAACTTCCTTTGACTAAGAATTAATGAGCTACCACAACGCTTAACTTATATTCCCAAAAAATATTATAGATCACCAAGATCCTTCAGGGTAAATTCACTCCCAAGCAGTCTCACTACTTCTTCAATCTGCCTGTTCGAGCTTCCAGTCAACACTATATCATCAACATACATGAGTATGTAAACACATTGACCATCTTTCCAATGAACAAATAGCGATGTATCAGCTGAAGATTATTTAAACCCAATCTTAACTAAACAATTCTTCAGTTTGTCATGCCAGTTTCGAGGGGCTTGGCGTAAACCACACAACGCCTTTTTTAACCTGCACACCAAGGGACTACCATCAACAACAGCTTGCTCAAACCCAGGTGGTTGCTGTATGAACTCCTCTTCATGCAGATCACCATGTAGAAACGCATTGTTTACGTCCACCTAGCATAACTGTCAGCCATTCATAATAGCTAATGAAAAAACTACATTCAACGTTGCAAATCTGACAACCGGTTTAAATGTTTCACCAAAATCATGTCCTGGCACTTGAGAAAAACCTTTAGCTACTAACCTAGCTTTATACCTCCTAATAGAACCATCAGGGTTTTTTCTCAATTTGAACAACCATTTACACCCCACCACTGACCGTCTTTCAGGTAGTTTCACTAGGGTCCATGTACCATTCTTTCTTAAAGCTTCAACCTCTGCATGCACTGCTGCTCTCCAATGAGGAAACTGAAGTGCTTCATAAATATTCAGGGGTTCCATGTCATCATAGCTAGCCAAATACAACTTAGGCTTAAATATTCCACACTTACTTCTTGCCAGGATCGAATGTCCATTCAACGAGCTTGCATCATTGCCATCTCTTAAAGGAGCAACATTGTCAAATGAATTAGTCACTGCCACAGATTGCCTTTACCTTGCTGGTTCAACAGCTTCAGCTGTACCAACTTCACCACCTTCTTCACCTTCATCTTATTGAACTACAACTTCTCAGGAAGTTTCACCCATGTCTACTGTGACCTGACCCATATGAGTAAAGTTTCTATCGATACTGCCTTCACATGCACTAACTACTTCCTGTTGAACACCTTCATTCAACCCAACCTGATTCATATCACCATAATAAATTCCATGACCTACACCTGCCATGTTGATTTGAAATTACCTCATATCAGTGATAACCTCAAGTTCTACATACTTCTATTTATTAGATACAGATGTATTACTCGATCCCTCAACCCCTACAAATGGAAAAATAAACTCATCAAAAATTACATGTCTAGAAACATATATTCTGGCACTAGCTGCTAGAGACATGTAGCCTTTGCGCTGAGGGTTGTAACCAAGAAATGTACATGGCTGGGAACGAAATTCAAGTTTGTGTTGCTGAAACAACCTCAAGTTAAAAAAGCATTTACATCTAAAGACTTTCATGAAATCATATTTTGGCTTCTTTCCCCACAATTTTTCGTAAGGTGAAAGCCCATCCAAGACCCTCGTATGAAGTTGATTGATAAGAAACATTGTTGTAACAGCTGCATAATACTAATAACGCAAAGGCACAATAACTTGTGCTATTAAAACCAAAGCAAGCTCAATGATGTGTTGATGCTTCCTTTTAACCACACAATTCTGCTCGGATGTATGAGGGAAAGTAACACGATGTACAATCTCTTCTTTTAACAACACAGATGATAGACTACGATACTCTCCACCCCAGTCACTTTGCACAACCTTCACAGATAGCCTGAACTGAGTTGCAACCATTCGTTGAAACAACTTAAACGTATTTACTGCCTGTGATTATGCTTTCAAAAAATAAACCCAAGTGTGTCTTGAATAAGAATTAACAAACGACAAGTAATAGTAACATCCTTTTGAAGCTACATGAGTTGGTCCCCATATATCAGTGTACACAAGTTAAAAGGGTTCAGTATACACATACTTGGAATGAAAGAAAGGTAATTTATAGCTTTTGCCAATGCAACACGCTTCACAAATCTTCTTCATATATTTATTAACTTGAACATCAATAGTTTTGCATACACTAGCAACTGTATCATATGTTGCATTCCCTAATCTTCTATGCCAATGACTGTAAACATCACCAGCCACATCAAAATTTACACAGGCATTTTTACAAACACTTGACATAGTGGTACTAGGAAACACATAAAGTCCCTTTTGCATTCTTCCTTGAAGAAACATCTCTCTATTAACTGCATCACGAACACAATAACCTTGTGCATAGAATTCAAATACCACATTGTTGTCCCTAGCAAACTTAGACACAGATAACAAATTTTGTGTTATGCCAGGTACATGGAGTAAATCATTAACTAGCAGTACTCTAGAAGCACACTTCATGACCGTACTACCAACCAAATCAACAGGTAAGAAACACCATCACCCACAACTAGCTTACCTGGACCACTGCAACCAGTTTTGCGAGTTATAATATCTAGATCTGGAGTGACATGGTGAGTAGCTCCAGAGTCAACAACCCACTGATCTTGCTCAGCCACTAATGCATCAGAACTGGCCGAAGCATGAATACGAGAACCCTTCGAAGAACTTATAAAAGTAAACTTATCATACGATGCAGTGTAAGCTTGAACAAGTTCTTCATCATATTTGGGTTGATTGTTACTAATAATATGAAATGCTTCATCATAACGGTGCCAACAACGATCAACTAAGTGCCCAATCTTACCCACAAAGCTGACACTGAACACGCGGCCTACCTCGTCCTAGACATGCTCGACCACCAGACCTACCATATGACCGAGAAGTGGTCATATGATCTCTATCATAGTTCGAATAAGATCGTTTAGAGTAATCACCTGAACTAGCCCTACGAGCAAGATGAGCTGTAACTATCACAGTTTCTTCTTGAGCAGCAAAACCAACGATCTGAATTTCTGCATCTATAAGCATGGTACAAACATTATCTAAGGGTAACATGTCACCACTCGATGTAATAACAACCATAAACGACTGATAGTCACGCGGTAACCCCTTCAAAATGCTGACAATATGTCCTACAAGAGGAATCAGGCTTCCACATGAAGCCAATGCATCACAGATTTCTTTGACTTTGGCAATGTAAACCCGCATATTGTCTTCTCCCTTCTTGAGAGACTGAATTTTACAATGTAAACTCATCACCGAGGTTGAAGACCTAGTTGCAAAGTATTGCAACACCGTAGCTCATATCGATGCAACTGTTTCAGCTCCCACAAAATGAGATAAAAGATGTGGACTATTGGTAGAAAGTAACCACGATGTTATTACACTGTCATGGGCTACAAAATCATCATAAGCTTCTTTGGGAACAAGACTACCATCTTCATCAACAATCATCTCCGATGGAGATTGCATACCATCGGTGAGAAGATGCTCAAGCCTATGACTGCGAATAGTAAGTAAAACTTGTTGTTTCCACAACAAGAAATTTTGTTTCATCCAATACCACATTGATTTTCTTGTTAGTGAACATCGAATCACAACACTCAGTAGAAAAACAAAAAAGAAACACATAAAGATCCATTAATCAAATAGAAACATCATACCCGAACTATTGAGCAACCACCTTCCACACCTAACAAGCACGATAACTAACAAGAACGCCCTGAGTTACGCAGCAAGAAAACACGAGGCTCCATGAACTTATGGTGATTGATATCATGTGAGGAAGTAACTATAATGGTGAAAATGTAAAACCAAGATGCATATCATTTATTGAACTACAACACTGCTTATATACAAGAGATTACAGCAAACAACTATAACTACTCAACAGCTAACAACTAACACTTAATAACTGCCCTTAACAGCTTTCCTAACTGCACACATCTGCTAACAACTACATCATTCAACAGAACCTAACTGAAATAAAGATTTTAAATTATAATCTATTTTTTATAATACTTTTCCCAATAAGTTATTTTAGGGT